CATGTGCATAGTGTGGAAGCAAGAGATAAATAATAAAAGTACGAATAAATAAAAACCAAACTACTAAGTAAGCTAGTTAAGGTAACACACTAATGCGAGACTAAGTGTGATAAACATAATCAGAGCACAAAAAGTCTAAGTGCAGTCCAGCAGAACGAATACTAATTACAACACCCAAAGGTGATCCTACATTTGTGATGTTCTGTCAGAACCACCGTCAAGTCCTCGTGAACCACCAAAGCTGCTTTTAACTAGAACCTGGAGGGGTGCAAAATAGAAAGTGAGATTAGGCAAAAACAAAGCTTTTCAAAATCATTTCATTATCAAAAGTTCTAACCCCTCGCCGTAAAACCTGTATAGTTTCTCACAAAATATAATATACACATATATAGAAAACATGTTCAAAAGTATGCCATGTCGAATGCCTCCACATAAACTGTAAGTAACTCAGGTAATGTCAATCAATGCAAGTAACATGTCAGCCGGAGTCACCTAACGTGACCTGTACGGCTGAATCTAGAGCTCAAATCCCCAACTCACTAACTATACCTGCACACGAGTCGGAACCACCTAAAGTGGTTTGTACGATAGGACTGTGTGCAAATAAATACGCTCAACTGCTACGATCACGTGAAGATTGGGCGAATAATCGCAGGTCACCTATGAGTCGGAACCACCTATAGTGGTCTGTACGACAAGACTGTGCACCTAACTTGGATCCAAGATGAGCGTGTGGTGTGGGAGGTGAACATCACGTGAAGGACTATGCCCTACTCTGGGCAGTAGCACTAATACCGGAGGTGCAGGTTATGAGCTCTCTATGCATCTCACATAACCACTAATTCACAATCATAAACCATAAACTTACTTGACACTTACCTGTGCGTCCGCAACACTAAACATACATATATGCAACTACTAATGCATAAATAAATAGGTAAACGCTATGCATGGCATTTAAAACATATAAACATTCCATATCATTTTTTGGGAAAAATCACAAGTATATAGGTATATACGGAAAATCAAAAGCCCACTCACTGATATGTGGAAGGGTCGTAACCCCTTTGCCTCGAGTGACTGCGCTTGTCCTCAGGATGGGTCTTGCCTATATGCGAAACAATTATAAAAATGTCAATTTAAAGCACATAACCAAAACTAGGTAATAACTTCTCATACAATGCTCAAATGGGGTGTGTGAATACACCAACGTGATCTACTCAACCTCACGAACAACCCCATATTTTTAAAATAATTTTTCGAAGCTCCACGTGCCGCTATGCCCGGGCGAGGGCACTGCCCTATGCGCAGCCATGTGCCAGGCACACTAACGACGTCAGTTAACGCCATTAGGAATATTCCGTTAAACCCTAAAGGATTCTGTTAAATCTGACTGACTGCGTCAGAATATTCCGTCCAAACTAATGGAATATCCCGTCATCTTCTTCGGCTAGTCGCCGACCGCCGAAAACCTGGAAAAACTTCAAACCCTTCATTCTCACTTGTTTCTTCACCAAATTCTGTGAAATTTACACCAATAGAAAGTTGGAGATGAGAAGAACAACGTTATACCTGTTTGAAACCTCAAAGATCACAGGATCTCGCCGGAAAAATTCAAGAAAAATCGACCAAACTTGCAACTCACAATCCCATCGTCCAATTCCACACAACGAACCACCCTGAGCTTCCTAAGGACCTCACTAAGCATCCTATAAGCTTCAAATATCCTGAAAGTCAATATTTCACGTGTGCATAGACAGTGACCAATTTGAAGATTCCTGGTTTGACGTGAAATCGAAGGATTCCTTACCTCAATTTGGTATGGTTGAACTCATATGATCCTCACGAACACAAAGGTACCATTTTCCACTTCAATCTGTGATGTTTGCAAAGGTTTTGGACCCCGTCCGTACACGTGAGAATGAGAGAGAGAGAGTGTGTGTGTGTGTGTGTGTGTGTGTGTGTGTGTGTGTTCGAGACAGAGAGTGGTACACGGGAGAGGATGATGGGGATGAAGGTGTGTGTGGGGTCCAGATGCAACCAGCCAAACAACAAAACCAGCCAAAATGACAAATAACTACCAAGGGCAAAATCGTCATTTCACATCTACGGTACGAATAATTCGGGACGGGTTGTCACAATTTATTGATTTAAAATATATTTTTCTTAACGGATCGATTTCAAGTCGGGTCATATTACCCGTTTACTTTAATGAGTGTTACATGACATGATCGGTTAAGCTATCGGGTATAACACAAAAACAACACAAACACCAGAAACACGACACGAATGCGAGGTCTAAAAACAACCAACGAAACTACAAGTTGCATCAAAATTTTGAACATTACTTGTTTAGTCAAACTGACCTTCAAAAGGCCAAAAAAAGGATTGCGAACATCAACTTGTTTTTATCATGTGTGCATTATACCATGGGTTTTTATCACAAATGATTCCTGAAATTGACCATCAGAATCAAGATGGTCCCTAAAATTAAAAATCAATCAATGTAGTTCCTGAAAATAGATGTCGCAAATTAATGTGGTTCTTTTATCACAATTATGTTAAAAATTCAGTTAAGTGCTGATGTGATATATAAATGGGCCCCACAAGATTTACCTATTTTTATCACAGATAGTCCCTAAAATTGACCCACACCATCAAGATGGTCCCTAAAATTGAGCCACACTATCAAGATCGTCCCTAAAATTGAGCCAAACTATCAAGATGGTCTCTAAAATTGAAAATTGATCAATGTAGTCCTTGAAAATAGATGTCGCAAATCAATATGATTTTTCGGAATAATTTTGTAAATTTTTTTGTTATGTGCTAATATGGGGTTTAATAATTAATTAAAATAGTTGTCTAAATACCTTTTTGCACAATGGAATATTTTTTTTCTTATAGTAAGGCCTACGCTGAAGAGAAATCTCTTCCATAAATTCTCAAAGGTAAGAGAGAGTGGAAATAGTTCAACTAACAATAGACTCAACTCGGGTATAACCTCATTATCTCAAGGCAGACCTCGCTATTTTTTGCATCATCAGACCACTAGGGAAGCGCCGAACAAGCTCTCCAAGATTAAGGCTGTGAGAATGTTGATCACCTAAATGTTAACGATGATATCCTAAAAGTCGTTGCCAATTGGTCAAACCGTCACTAAAGGTGATCTCGATCCATGTTCAATTCGGTGAAAGGTGTCGAAGTGTGTAAAGATGGGTATATTGAGATTTTTTTTTAGAGAATAGAGAGTGAATGATGTAGAGAAATGTGGATTCGGCTCAAAGGTGATTGCAGGACTAGGTTTTTGGGTTGACAACTTTTTTATTAACTATTAAATTATTAAGCATATTTGTAAATTTTTAAATTTGATTAGACTTGTATGACTCGTTTATATGTCACCTCAACACATGCAAATTTTTTGACAAAATTCTGACGGAAGGACTACATTGATTTGAGACACTTATGAGACTACATTGATCAATTTTCAATTTTAAGGACCATTTTGATGTCTCAGGTCAATTTTAAGGACCATTTGTAAGAAGAAAAAAAAAAGACTTATGGGGTCCATTTATGTGCCACATCAACACTTAACATAATTTTTAACGAAAATTGATTTGTGACACCTATTTTCAATGACTAAATTGATTGATTTTTAATTTTAGGGATCATCTTGATGGTGAGGGTCAATTTCAGGGACTATTTGTGATGAAAACCCTTATAACATTGATGTTTTGTTAAATTAAATTAGTATTTGTTAACTTTTTTTTTTTTCTTCCCTTTTTTGAAGAAATGATATTATTTACACTAAGGGAGAGGAGGTGAACTTAGCCTCACAATGAGCTAGTAATAATATGGTACAAATTCGTCTTTGGCTATAATTGAACTAAAGACCTCTCATTTAAAAGTGAAGAGGAATACCACTAGACCGTAATACTAAGTGGCTAATATTTGTTATCTTTGTTCTACAGGATGTGCTTGTTCTTATAAATTACAAGGTGAACGATTGATTTTAATGCCATGGCTATTCAATTAATTGTATATGTGAAGGAGTTTTTATCACTTTAGTACTTCTGCTTGTTGTGGCATGTTTCTTACTTTAGATAGTTGCGAACCCCGGCTCTCGATTAAACACCACTCCTACAAGTTGTGATCAGATAGACTTTAGTTAAAGTCGCTAGTTGTTACTAATAGGGTTATAGTTATAGTTGTTATTACTAAGATTTTTTAATCATGAAGAGTGGTTGTGACTCAATGCTTATTAGTCCTTATAAGGGATGACACATGATTACTATGTTATAACTAAAAGGATGTTATGACTGAAAGTTAGAATTTGGTTTAATTTTCTAGTAACAAAGTATGTTGTTGCTAATACATTTTCGTCAGTCAATATGTTTTCTTGTGATTAAATCAATTAGTTACGAGGCTTTCAGTCACAATCCTTTCTCTTTTGAAGCCTCAACAAACCAATTCAAACCATAGTATTCTGGTTACTTAAAAAAATTCCAATATTTTCTTCGGTTAACACAAAATCCCCCTATATTAACCAAACCATGTTTAAGTAAACCTGCATTAAGCTTCCAGCAACCAACCACCTAAAAACTCACTCAATTTTTCTTTGTCCAAACTCAATTTGACATGGATAATCTCTTAATTTTGTCATTAACACCAGAGTGTATAGATATGATTGTTTTCTGCTATTGTAATAAAACGTCATCTGAAATGACGAATTTACAATTAAACTAAAAGCAAAATGTAACATTTGATTGCTCAATCTCCAGCCTACTCATATCCATTATCTTATTCATCATTTTTTTGGGTGTCCCAATCAAATTATTTTGTGTGTATTTGTCTATTGTTTGACAAAAATAAAATTACAAGGCTAGAGAAAAACAGAATGAGAAGAAAATGAGAACGTAAAAATTATATTTATTTAAACACCCAATAATTTTAGTGACAGGTGGGATGACATAATTGGCTGTGAGCAGAGTCTGAGGGCAGACTAGTAACCCTCAAATCAAATCTCAGACCATCCCTGGTTTTCAAATCGGCGCGCTGCCTTTTGCCACCCACTCTCTCCACTCTCAACTCTCCAGAACTCTACTACCATCATCCATCCCAGGCCCCACCACAACCCAGTGCGATCGGACGGTGCCGGAGTCTGCAGAGATGGGCCCACCGAAGAACGCCGCCCGTACGATCTCTCAGGAGGCCTTCGACGAGGTGGTGAAGGAGAACATGGAAGATCTCGGCATGGACCCCACCGAGGCCCTCGAAGACGCCATCCAAACGCTAACTCTCCAGGGCGTCGATCTCTCGGGTACTCTTCTCTCTTACACCCCCAAATCCCCCAATACAATTCGTTTTGTAGAGAAAGTAAGAGCAAACAGAGAGATTGCTGCAATTTCTATTCCCGCATTTTCTCGGAAACCAAACAGAACCCATTTGATGAATGCAGCATTTGTTTCGTTTTGTTATGTAAATTTTAGTTCTTTTGTTTGGCAGGGATCGTGACCTGTGTCCCCGGAGAGGGTAGTGTGAAAGACAATCCTGTGTTACAGTGCTTGGATAGATTGAGCCAGTTGAATTCTAGTCCAAACAGTCAAATTGGCGATGAAGTTGTGGATTTACTTGATAAACTTACCGAGCTCTGTAAAGCCGAAGGTTCTGGGAATGCAGCAATAGCTTCTAGAAATGGAGGGGTTGAAATAGTTTGTTCTATATGTTCTAAGATTGAGATCGGGTGCGAACGCGCTGTTTTTTTGGCGTTGAGGGCATTGGCTTCATTGTTACATGGTATGATGGACAGCCTATCTTGCTTCTTTGGTTTCTCATGAAGTCTTTCTAAGACGTTGCATGAGTTGTGTGTAATTTTCTGGATTTTTGTTGATTTGTAGATTTGCAAAGTAGAGAAGCATTTAGGGCAAGTGGTGGACCAAAGATTTTGGTGGGTATTCTAACTGATGGATTTGAGAATATTGACATAGTGAGTAGTGGTTTTTCTGTCGTTGCTGCGGCTGCAACGAGTAATGAGGTCATAAAGGAGTTATTCATGGAGTTGAAGATTGATGAGCTTATTCTGCGAGTATTGAGTGTAAAAAGGGAAGTCAGCATTGAGAGTTTGTATGATGCTATACGGGTTCTCTTAACACCTGATGATAATCGTGTTTTGGCTTCACAAGTAAGTTGAGGTTTATTGCAAAATTCCAGCAATTTTTTTTTTTTTTTCTTTTTTCTTTTGTCTCAAATGTAGAACTGTAATAAACATAAATGAATTGAGCGATAGTTCATGATTAGATATCCAGAAGCTTCTTTATGGAACCTTTTCATTCAAGTGTTTATAACATGTTCCTTGATGAATACTGCCGTGAATGCAAAATTCAGGTTTATGGTTATGCGCGGAACTTTGCTAAAATTGGAATTGCTGGAGCTCTGGTTGAATCAGTACGTGCGGGGCTTAGCTCATCTAGTCTTGTTTCAGCAAGCATTGCTTTAAAGGCTATCGCTGTCAATGTAAGACTTTTGTAATCTGATGTGATACAAATTAAGAGTTGATGTTTTAATAATGACTGTTTGGCCTTCATAGTTTTAATGTTCAGTCAGTATGAAACATTCTGACTTGTGTGTTAGACTTTGTTATAAGATCAGTTAATTGATTCATTATTTTCATCCTATATATCCTTTTTGTTCTTTGATCGGTATGACTTATGACTGGAAAATGTGTCTGAATGATATGGAAATTTACTAACAACTAATGTAGTATTTTGTACGCTGAATATTTTCTTGTTCTAATTCTGTTATTTATTGGTCTTCAATTTTCCACAGGATGAAATATGTACATCCATTGCCGAAAATGGTGGAATTGATGCGGTTCTCTTATGTATTGATGACAGTAGTGAACAAGGCAACAAAACTGTTGCTAAAGTTTGCTGTTCTTTGCTCTGCAAGGTCTAAATCACACTTATCATTTGCATGTGAATTGGCTTACTATTTAGCTTTTGAATCCAAAATTGAATGGTTTAAATTTCAACTCTATCTTCTATGGTTTTATATAGAACTCTTGGACCACAATTCGTGTGAGTAAATACATTCGTTATCATTTACTCGTGCTACTTAGAAAATTATTGGTGTTACTTTCTGGTGAAGCATTTTAGTGCCTCTTATGCATTATTGTATTTTAGTTGGCAGGAAGTGACACAAATAAGAATGCCATTGTTGAGAAGAAGGGTATGGATAGGCTAATGAAACTGTCATCTAGATTTTTTGATGACCCTTCTATCCTTCAAGAGGTAAGGAACCACAATTCTTTCACATTGAATTTGCGTACTTTTGAACACATTATGGGGCTGAGGTTTCCGTTCAAGGGAAATTCTCAGTTTATGTGCTAGTATCGCTAGATGTTAGCTGTATTTTTCTGAATGCTTCAACTCTTGCATTCTGTATTCATCTGAATCTTTCAACTGTTGCATTTTAGGTTTCCATAGTGTCATTGTAAGTTGATTGGATGACTTTAATGATATGGCAGAGTTAACATTTTCGTTAGCAAGAAAATGTTGTGTCTTTGTTTGAATTTTAATATGGAAGAATGCTGAACAAAATATTTTCAGCGATGAGATCCTTGTGAAAGCATAACGTTGAAATGATTTCCCAAACCACTAATTCTAACTGTGATTTGCAGTTGATACAAACATTTGTTCTTTTGCTCAATCTTCGCATTGATTCTTTCTGTTATGGTTCAGATTATGGCTGTTATTTCTGTACTCTCCTTAAGGTCCCCAGACAATGCAGCCATTGCCATTGAAGCTGGGGCTGGAGAACTTGCCCTCCAAGCTATGCAGAAGTTCCCTGCGGCACAGCAAATGCAGAGGAACTCCTGTCTCATGATTCGGAATCTTGTCTCAAGAAACGCAGCCAACAGGCAAGTCTTTTTGTTATAAATGCATCTCACTCCCCGTTACACTTTCTCTTCCCGTCTTTTCGTTTTCAGTGTCATATCTATTTTCTCATATCATGCATGGCATTGTTTTTTGCTGTGGTTTTTCCATAATACCCAACTCTTGTGATATCAATTTTTTCACTTCACAGAACTATTCTGCTCAATAGCGGTATCGAGAAACACATAAGGATGGCCAAGCAAAACCATGTAAGTTGTAAGGAAGCCGCTACCGATGCATTGAGGGATCTGGGACTTGACGACTACAACATGTAAACCTTCAAAGTGCATATACTCCTGTTTCTTGAACCACAATTTTGCATGCTTAGATTATCTTCCCTGTTTGCTTTAGCATTTGCATGAGCGCTACTTTAATGTATCTTTTGTGACAGTATGTTGTTACAGCCTTTTAATTGGCCCTGTTGCTGAAGATGGTACAACAGACAGGAATCTTTATTTTTCCTGAAATTCCTTTTTACCTTTTCATGTTTTAGTTTATGCTCATAGGCTTGTGATTAAAGTAATGAACTATCAACCAATAATTATACGTACACACTACATAGGCTTGCCAATTTTTGACACGACCCATTATCCCGACACGAAATTAACAGGTTTTTGGGTCGATAGATAATGAATCGAGTCATTAAAGGTTAATCCGATATGCACTTGTTAAGATAATGGGTTGTTCTAGCTATATACATGGGTAATTCGTTATACGATAAGAAAAATATTAATTTAATAATTTTATACTACTAAAAAAAATACTATAATTAACAAAAGTAGGATTTCATTCCAAACCGAATTGAAAGTTAAAATATAAATATATAGATATATTTAAATTAGGAAATTGTTATTAGCACTCCAAAAATCTCATTCTACATTCCAAACTTTGTATATTGGGAAAGAAAATACACTTGTGAGGAGTGTAAAATGAGATTTTTGGAGTGTCAATAACATTTTCCTTAAATTAAATTTAAAAAATTGATAACCGTTGGATCGGTTGAGATCTAATCTCGGTCATCCAATGTTTTTCTTAGCCATAATTAGATTCTTTCTCTCATTCTCTAATGTTTGAATTGAAGTAGCTGCGCTCTCTCTCTCTCGATCTGAACTCTCAAATCTCAGTCTTGAATCTCAACTCTGGCACACCACAACCCCACAACCACCCTCTTTAGTCTCCTTCCACCGCACCATTGTTACCACATATGACCCAGTAACCCACCACCAGTCAATTTGCTACTTTTGTCTTCGATTCTCTTTGGATCGAGCAAATCTTGTTAAGATATTTTGTAGTAATATTTATGTGGCAATGTGATAATAATTTTTCTCAATAGGTCATAACAGGTTGGTCATTTTATTTTTTGGGTAAAATGACCTGACCCATTAAGAACCCGTTAAGATAATGAGTGTGACACAACATGACCCGTTAAGATAACAGATGTTACACGAAAACGACACGAACACGAACACACACATATATATCTAAAATAAATCATCATAAATAATTTACAGTCCAACATAGTTTTGTTTTGTTTTTTGGGAAACTATAGTCCAACAAAGTTACAAAAGCAATAAGAATTCTACACTTATCGAAATCTCTCTCATCATATCGTTACGCACTTGGGGGAGCGCTTTTTCCATGAAGGGGTGAGCATGGGGCACTTGGTGCGAAGGATAACACCCATGTCGTGAGTCAATAAGCTGTTGAAAATTTGGCTCGCTTACTGATGGAGTGGGCTGTAATCTATCATGTTCCGGTTTTACAATAAGTATGTGATCTGGTTGGAGGCGCTTCTACAGGTCATTCGCACTTTGGTCTTCTTTCCGGTTGGGAGTTCTCATCTCCCTCCGTGTACATTACTGCAGAATCGGCATCGGTCTACGCAGCGTCAACAGCGTAAGTTGGGGTTGGCATAGGCTCGTGTTGTCCCTAGTTGTGAAGACACTTAGCAGATTGGAGCATCCGCCCCGATGCATCAGAATGTACTGGGCATTTCTGTTGCCGGGTCATTCTGACCAGAAGCTAAGCTAGAGTGTTGGCCACCAGTGATGAACTGCGATGACATTTGTAAGAACCAAAATACCACCTCCCTAGAGTGATAACAGTGCACGCTCACTATGCAAGACTAGACCCGGCGGGAAGAGAAAGCCAAGTACTGCCCCATGGGGAATGATCTATCAGGTGGTTCCCAGTGTGAACAAAAGTAATCAATCCCGTATCCGTGGTCAAAGCGCTCCTGGCGACTTTGGAGTACGGACTCAGCCAGCTGTCTTTACTCAGGTGCTAGATTGTTTATCAATGTATGGTGAGATACCTTCTATATATTAAAAATAAAAGCTAATACACCGTTGACGATGAACAGAAAATCTAGTTTGGTCTAAACCATACTTGAGAAAAGAACGAGGAAGTTAGATGGTGCTGGTTTCAAGAATTTTTTTTTTGTATATATCTTGTAGTTTTTACAAAAATGATCTCTGAAATTGACCCACACCATCAAAATGGTCCCTTAAATTGAAATTTGATCAATGTAGTCCTTGAAAATAAGTGTCACTAATAAATGTGGTCATTCTATCACAATTCTATAAAAAATTATGTTATGTGCTGATGTGACACATAAATGGGTCTCACAAGTCATTTTTATCACAAATGGTCCTTGAAATTGGCCTACACTATCAAGATAGCCTTTGAGATTGAAAATTGATCAATGTAGCCCCTGAAAATAGGTGTTGCAAATCAATGTAGTTCTAGAATAGGCGTCTCAAATCAATGTGGTACTTTCGTCACAATTCTTTTAAAATTTTTGTTATGTGTTGATGTGACACGTAAATGGGTCCCACAAGGCTAATTAACTTAAAAATAAATTAGAAATAGGTTTAATAATTTAATAATTAAAAAAGCTTTCAACCAAAAAATCAGTCTTGCAATAACCTCAGTTTCCAACCCACACTTGTCTACCTCCATCTATGGTAACCTTCACCGTCTCTTTTTTGAAAAAAAAAAAAAAAATTATCACGACACCCATCTTTACACCCTTCGACACCATTCACCGAATTGGGCTAGGATGGAGACCACCTTTGGTGACGGCTTGGCTTAGAATGATTTCTATGACATCACCATTAATATTCGGACGATCAACAACCTCATAACCTTAATCTTGGAGAGTTTGTTGGACGCTCTCCCAGTGACCTTGGTGATGCACGGAACGGTGAGCTCTGCCTTGAGATAACCCCCTTGTGCAAAAAGGTATTTTGACAATTAAAAATTATTAAACCCACATCAACACATGACAACATTTTTGATAGAATTGTTATGGAAGGACCACTTTGATTTGTCACACCTATTTTCAGGGACATTGATCGATTTTCAATTTCAATGATCATCTTGATGATGTGGGTCAATTTTGAGGATCATTTGTGATAAAAAAAATTTGTAAATCTTGTTGGACCCATTTATATGCCACATCAACATATAATATAAATTTAGACAAAGTTATGGTAGAATGACCATATTGATTTGTGACACCTATTTTCACGGACTACATTGATCGATTTTTAATTTCAGAAACTATTTTAATGGTGTGCATGAGTCAATTTTAAGAACTATCTGTGATAAAAAACCATAGATTTTGTTGTGACCTTCAAATTTCCACACAACTAGATATGGTGGACACAGAAGATCAGCACAAAGAGCAGTAGATGTCATATATTGTGTACGTCCTACATTCTAAAATGGTGTTGGTGTGGACAGTAGTGGACTGGTGGTGGCTGGTTGGCATGGAAGCTGGGACAAAAGGTACTCGCATCACATGGAATTTTCATAAACCAACACACACACAGCAACAAGAGTCACCCATCCATCAACCTCTTTAGGCCACCATGTGATGATGTCGTCGGATAAATATATGAAGGTGGAATTTCCATATGTCCAATTTTGTACGATTTTCCTCTATTATTTGCTTTTTGTTTCTGCAAAAGGAAATTATACGTACATATATAACATATCAGCATCAGTCATTACCATATACAGAAGAACCAAGGTTTGCTTGCTGATTCTTTAGCCTCTATATATATGTTGAAGAGCTCAGCTGGCCAGAGGTCTAGGTGTCTCGGTCTCCGACTTATCATTGGCAATAATCAGGGCTATCAGGGCATATAAACGAATGTGCATCATATGACTCACCATATATAGTCCAATCCAACCAAATAAGTTACAAATACAAGTAAACATTTCTGTATTTCGACCTAAACAAAAAGTAAATATATTTATGACTGTTGTAATATTGTCTCAAAGAGCAAAGAACGTAATCACGAGCGTTTACATATTTTTTTTTTTTAAACTTTCATACTTGTAAATTAATTATTATAATGATTATTATTTTTTTATTTGCTTTGGTACTTTGTAAGAAAATATAAATATTCATAATAATTAATTTACAAGTGTGAAAAATGTTAAACAAATATGCAAATGCCCGTGATCTCCTCCACGCTTTGATGATGGGCACATCGTCATTTGGATTTTTAAAACCCTCCAAACCTTCATGAGTAGTGTTTTTTGTTGAGTGTAAAATTAATAAAAATTCATAATAATTAATGTATCCGGTGTGAAAAATGTAAAAAATATATACAAACGCTTGTAGTGACAAGCTCTACAACTTTGTGAAGGGGGTCAACTTCTAAATCGACGCCAAAATCCACAAACCCTAGATTTATTTTTAACCGTCAATTGTCATTTATATTTACACTCCATTCTTCTCACTGGGTTTCGTTTTTCAGATTTTCTTTTCTAAAAACGTGATCTTTTAGCGATGCATAAAGATGAATGGTTCAGACCTTTGATATCACGTTCAGATTTTTACAGTTAGTGAAAGTATTGCTTGGAGTTTATAAAGTCTCTAGAAAGTGTTTAATATCGACTCATATTTCAGTTGATCATAAATATCAGATGATATCAAAGATTCGACCTGTTTATTATTATGCATGCATCCACTAAAAGATCATATTTTCAAAAAAGAAAATTTGAAGAAGAAAATCCGATGAGAAGAATGAAGTGTAAACAACAATGACAACCAATGGTTAAATACATATCTAACGTTTATAGATTATGGTGTTGAATTCCGGAGATGATTCTTTTCATGAAAGTTGTAAGGTTTGTCATTACGAGCATATGTATTTTATTTATTTATTTTTTTACATTTTCGCACCTGTACATTAATTATTATGAATTTTTCACTCAAACAAAAAACATTATTTGTGAGGGTTTCGTGGGTTTCAAAAATCCATACAACAATGTAACTATATTCCAAGTGTAAAGTATACAATCATGAGTGTTTGTATATTTTTTTTCACATTTTGTCACACTTGTATATTAATTTTATGAATTTTTTATTTATTAATGTAGAGAATTCGATGATGAGCGTTTACCTTTTTTTCATATCTTTAACACTTGTAAATTAATAACAAGAAAAACAAATTACATTA